GTTTCTAATCTGGAGTCAGAAGGTAAACAAATACTGGTTGTTGTTTCGCGATGTTCTATAAAATTATTTAGCCAATCGAGCTGAAGAAACTGAGGTGGAACTGAGTTCCTTCCAGAACCTGATGGAATATTTTTTTTTGATTTCAGCCACCTTCCATAACTACTTTGAATGCTTTTATATTTCTCTTCCGCTTGATTAGGAGATAAGTTTGAAAGACGACCAACTTCTTCCCATGCATTTTTCTTTTTCCATTTATATTTAAAATCTTTATTAAACTTGTCATACAATACTGGAAATTTTTGAACTTCATTCATAAAAGCTGCTTTAGATAGTTTTTCAAACACACATAATGGAGTTGTCGTCATGTTTTGTAAAAAATGAAGATGTTTTATTAACTTTACAGTTTTTGTGCAGTTTCCAATAAAAAATTAACTGCGCGACCAAAAAACGGTTGCAGAAATAGAATTTTTTCAATACTCACAACCGGAGTTGTACAACATGAGTTTTGTTGTACAACCGACGTAAAGTTGTGCAACTTACGGTATAAAATGTTTCCATTATAAGACAAAGGTGTTGTACAACTGTTGTACGACATTTCTACAACTATTGGAAACCAAGCTTAAGTGTAAACGTCTTTAGCATATGTTGAGTTTGAAGGCATTACATAAAGATAATCGCGTATAATATATCCATAAAATGAGAAAACTTTACAATTTTATTTTAAATTTTAGAAATCTTTTTTGCTATATTATTTTTTTTTTTTTTGCTATAAATATATAATCAAGATTGAAAAATTACGGATCCGGATTCGGAAAGCTAGGGTATACAAGGAAAAAGTATAAAAAAATTCGATTTGGAATAGACTTACAAAGGCTATTCGGATTGCGTAAACCTCGCCGTGAATGGACGTGTTTTTATTAATCTTACTAAAAAATTAAAATATGGATTTAACATTAAAAAACATCGAAAAATTATTAACAACAAAGCTTGAAGAATAAAAAACTTTTATACTATCAGAAACAGGCAAATTATTAAAAGAACAAGAACAAAACTTTATATTATAAATTGGCTAAAATTGGTTTATTGGCTTTAAAATTGGTTTATTAAAAATAGTGACGTCCATAAAAGATGTCATCATTTTTTAGCCAGTTTTTGACCCCCTCCTTCCCTTTGTCACCGGTTGTCCTTTTTTCCTATACCCCCTGAAAAGGATGTCATAAAATCTTGCCTCCCCCCCCCCTATTTTTAAGCCTAATAAATTTTATTTCATTTTGGAATGATGTATGAATCTGCTGCTACATCTTTGAAAAAGAAAGTTAAAAATATTCTCATACATTATCTTCTTAAAAACATATGTTTACATAGTTTTCCATGTTACTTAAACTTAAGAGCCGTTTTTTCTAAGAATCAGGCAAATTCCTGAAACTGTGGAAGTGACCTCGTCCAAATTGCTTGAATTTTTTATATTGATCAGAATATAGAGAAAACCTGTTGAGGAAAAAAAAAAATTTCAAAAATGTTTCGTTCACTCGGAATCTGAGCTTAAATTTTTGAGATTTTTTTAAAAATTTTTAGAAATTTAGTTTTTGCCACCTTTGAACCCATTTTTTTGGCAAGGCAAAAAGTTGCACATAGCTTTTGTAGTTAATATCAGACGTAACCCAAAAGCTCTCTCCAAAAAATATAAAAAAGTTGCGTGACACTGTGCGGTTGGCTAATTATCATAGTTCAAAAGTACAAAATCAATCAGTTTTGTCAATTTTTAATCGGAGTTAATTCTAGCGGCGAAGTGTTGCACACAATTTTTCTTTTAGGATTTGAAATTATCAAAGGTATTGAGTCTAAAAATGCAAAGAAAGTTATGTGTTACCCAAGGCCTATTAATATATTAAGGCTTGAAATTGGATAAAAATGTTTTAGTATACTTACAAAATGAACCATTACGGCAGAGGCGCTTAGTTTTGAAAAATGTAAACATATCCAACTGTCAATACAAAAAGGTCCTAACATAATAATAAAAAAAATTCGTGTGATTTTGTCACACGCATGATATAACATGAATTAAAAACTGAACAAAAATCTAACATCAAGATAACTATATTGCTAATTAAATAAAACATAAATCAAACATTTAAATGTTTTTCCATTTAAAAATTAGTTTTTCATTTATTAATAGAGTCATTTACACACATTATCCACCACATCATACATAATTTCTACTCTGCTGCAGTAAGTTTCTCTAAGAATAATGATATGACTGTATTATAGTCTTCTTCGGATAATGAATAATCGCCACAACCACTGATTAGAAAAGGAGCATTTACTAAACAGATAATTTTATCAGTTTGGTTATTTATCTCCTCGGTAGTAACTGGCCAGCGAAAAGTATTCTTCTCTTGCCCGTTAATCATACAATTAACTCTGATCCCAGTTATAGATACCTAAAAGTATTAGCGCAACATTTAAAATAATATAATAAAGAGTTTATGATTTGTTTAATTTTGCTTACATTCAATAAAACTTGTAAAGTCTTATATAATGTCATTCTGAAATTATTTTTACATTTTATTTATATTCCTTTTATTTTAGAGCACTGTTTTGTAAAACAAAATAAAAACTTGAAACTAATATATACTTTGAATAATATTACCTCCACAATATATCCAATATTCCATTGTTTTTCATATGCAACAGCAACCCAATCATTCACTTTCCATACAAGACAAATTTCTTTTGCAAGATTGGCGATGTCTTCCTCATATTTATTATCATCTTCATTGTCTCCTGTCAGATTAAAGTCATCCTTTTCGCCATAAACTTCTTTGTTATCGTTAACCTGACTATTTTCATTATTTTCTGTTGTCGGTTCTACCAGCTTACCTTTTCTTTTCAGGTTACTAAATCTATAACAATATCAATTGTACATATTTTTAAACATATGTAAACAAACACACAAAATTATAACTTTCACCTAAATTTTAAATTCATATTTGTAAAAGAACTATTTAACAGTCAGAAACATAATCTAATTTGCAAAAGTTTTGATAGCAACAATGCCTACCTTGAAAATAATGATCTTATCTGTTGGCCAGTTACATATTGATCAGGCGGAAGTTCTCTCCTCAGCTGCATGTGAACCTGCTCAGGGCTCATTTTATTACCTGATTCTTCTCCACGAATAAAGTATTTATACAACAGTTCTTTCTGCTGATTTGAAAATCTAAAAGAACTTCGAACTGGTAATGCCCAACCTTGCAATAGAAAAATGTTCATGCAATGTGGTTTGTCTTTTACGGAAGCACTGTTAGAGGATGAAGAAATTGGCATATTTAGTTGTGAAGTAATTTTCATCTTATGAACAAACGAGTTGCGAACTTTATCCAATGATGTTAATGATTTCGGAACTGTATGAAGACCGGATAGCATGTGTTCTTCTAACTCAGCATCGCTTTCAAATGATAAAGTACAATTCATTTCAGTGCAAAATCTTAATGAATATAATTGCCTGTCATTTCTTTTCTGTTTTTCCTTAAGTGACTTGTTACGCTTAATTGAATTATCTGTTTTGCTATGTAACAACAACAACTTAATCGAGGGTTGAATTTTAAGATTTCCATACTCTTGTTCAATTCCCTCACCGATATTGAAATAACGCCACATCGTCATACTTTTTTTACCGAACTCAAATGAGTGATAGTTGCTAATGTTCTTAATCTTTGGTCCAGTAACTACAGTTTTATCATTGCTAATTTGAGCAACTGCTACTTTTGCATCTTTAGCGCCAAAACTATAATGCATAGCCTTGTGTATATCTTCAGCAGTCAAAAGATTATTACCAGAGTCGACGTAACTTCTTAAAATTGTCTTTACAACTGCACTCTCCCTGTCAGATTGATCTTTTCCACAACAGGGTTCATTATAATCATATCTCAGCAACTTTATATCTCTCTCTTTGCATACATTGTAGATTGCTTCAGCTGAAAGATTTCCCTGATAGCAGCCGGCATTATCAGATTTGGTAAACATTTTCTTGATATGCGGTTGATCAATTCTGAATTGGTCTAAAACTGCAGTGGCAAACGAAACAACATCACCTATTCCCTGATCACACCTATACATTGAAGTAAAGTAAACACGTTTGAATAACTTTCCTGCTATTTTTATGAAGAATATATCCACATGTAAACTCATTCCTTTCTTGCCAAAATACTCTCTTTGGCCCTCTCTGTATCGAACCGAAAGAATTTTTTGACAAAAATCTTTAAGCCAGAAAGCAGTTTCATCGTTTAATTGCTTAAAAGCTTCGATTTTTGCCTTTTTCTGTTGAGAATCTCTCATCAGGTGTTTTATGTAGTTGAATACATCCTTTACAGCAATTTCCAAATCATAAATAGAATCAGCATCGTCAGAGTTTTGAATTGTTAGTTCTTTGATCATCTCGATAGCTTTGCACAAATCTTAGCAATCGGCACATACCACTTCTGATGTCTCTGTGTTGGATTGAAGATTTTTTTCAGATGGATCTGATAAGGCATGTTTAGAGCTATGAGAAGAAATGTTTGAGTCATTGACACTACAATTGGTTTGATAACTTGTTTTCAAATACCTTTTTCCTTTTTCAAGGGCAGCTTCGAGAGATTTAGAACTAAATCTTTGTGCCAATTTTTGTAATGTTTGAAAACCATTCATGCCTGAAGCAGTAACATCATCTAATCCAGCTAAGCTTTTTCGACTTGAAGGTTTTATTGCATGCAATACTTTCCACAAACTTGAATCAGATAATGGTATATAATTGTTTTCACTACAACTTTTTCGATAGAACATGATAGCGTTTCTATATTTTGTCGTCAGTATTGCATGCACTATCTTTTGTTCTTCACCGCTGTCGTATTTTAATTTGGTTTTCCATAAGTAACATCATGCAAAATACCGCTTGCAAATATAAAGTCTAAGAAATGTTCACACTTTGTTTAATCAAGACTAGATCGGACGAATACTTTCTACTCTGGAAATGCCAACCCTTTATGAGATGCATGCCATTTTCTTGCTGTTTCTATACGATGTTTGGTACACTCAAATGTGTTCATTATAAACTTTTTGGTATACTTGGTATGGTCTAATAATGAGAGGATAACTAACTTTCCCATGGAATCACTTTGCTTATATACTTTCTGAGCACGAATAACTTCAATTGGGAGAGGGCTATTTATTTCATCAACATTTTTACTGTTAAGAGAATCTATAAGTATTTCCTCTTGTCCAGGAGCAACAGCTTCCGCAATTTTTTCTTTAATAAGTTTTCTATGCGAACATACTTGCGTTTTAACTTATCTTTAGTAGTATCTTCCAGATATTCGAACTTCCTTTTTAATCTAAATTTTATTGGACTTGCATTAAGAACCTCAGTTACACTCTCACGGCTTCTTAGAGATTCGTCCAAAATCTCCTGTGAAACATTAATTTCACCGGGATCAAATTCTTCATCTGGAGTAGCAGGTGTCATATATGTTTGTTCTTGTTGTGTTTGTGTTTCTATACATAAATTGGTGTTTTCGTTGACTCTAGATAAAGCAGTTTCTTGCTTTAAATGGGTAAAACACAGCATTGCACCAACTGAAAATACTTCATTGTATCGCTTTGACATTGATATGACGACATGTATTGGTGACGCCCTTAAAGCGGGAGATTTTTTTCCTTTTATATTTAGATGGTGAGGATGAAAGCATGTTTTTGGAGGACTCCATGCAATACCAAACGTGTACCGGTGAAAAGCACATATTTGTTCATCAATTTCAAGATTTCTTTTAAGTCTATTTGCAATAAGTCCATTTTCTTCCCAAATATTATTATCGTTTAATCGCATGACCTAAAAACAATTTTTTAAACAATTATTAAGTGTGTCATTTAAAGCATTGTTTATAATCTGACTCTTCACGAAAAATGTTTACAAGTTTGAAATACATTGTTGTTATTATTAAAATACAATATTGCAAGAGTGTGATTAATTTAGTGATTATTTATTAAAAGAGTGAGGAATTAATTAAAAGAGCTATTTTTTTTTGTTTAAAGAACTTTGTCTCAAAATCTTATTGCAGAGAAGTTATAAAGTATGTAATTATAAAAATTATATTACAGTCTGCGTAAATTTAAAATACATAATTACCTTTAAGTTGATGAGGTGTTTCTTAACATCAACATCTCCCAGCTGATGAATGTAGAACATTTTGTTTATAATTTTATGTTTTTTGAATGATCCACAATTTCCTTTTGAAAAGCAACAACAGTTTTCATAAAAATATTTGTTTTGTTCCATACTCAACTAAAAACAAGTTCTATTTATGCAGTACCTATTTCTCAATAGCAATGATAAAATATCTACTCTATTTATGCAAATTTTAAAGATCGTTAAAATAAAGTTAAGACATTTCTATGGTAAAGTAAACAACCGCCCACTAACTTGTTTCTCCACAATCGTGATATCAGCGATTCTTCTTCCATTCGATCACCACAAGTTATTTGGTTATGACGTAAATTTAAATAATTCACTTCTGATCATGTATTGTTTTTTATTATTATTTATTTCAATTGTTATGATTTCTATATCATAGTCAGAAACGCTTAAATTTTTTCTTAACATTACGTGCAATGTTTTGTGTAATGCTAATTGCTAATTTTGGATGATAGAAATTTTGTTGTGAGCGAAAACCTCATTTGTGTGTCCAAAAAAATATCTCTTCGTACTTAATCATTTTTAACAGTTTGTACCTTTATTTTTAACTTAATATCTAAAGATCACATGAGTTTTTTTTTAAACTATGTTAGGGCCATCTTATATTGACCATTTAACATGATTATATTTTTACAAACCTTAGCGCCTCTGCCGTAATAGCTCATTTTGTAAGTATACTATAACATTTTTTTCCAATTTCAAGCCTTAATATATTAATAGGCCTTAGGTGTCACATAACTTTCTTTGCATTTTTAGACTCAATACCTTTGATAATTTCAAATCCTAAAAGAAAAATTGTGTGCAACACTTCGCCGCTAGAATTAACTCCGATTAAAAATTGACAAAACTGATTGATTTTGTACTTTTGAACTATGATAATTAGCCAACCGCACAGTGTCACGCAACTTTTTTATATTTTTTGGAGAGAGCTTTTGGGTTACGTCTGATATTAACTACAAAAGCTATGTGCAACTTTTTGCCTTGCCAAAAAAATGGGTTCAAAGGTGACAAAAACTAAATTTTTAAAAATTTTTAAAAAAATCTCAAAAATTTAAGCCCAGATTCCGAGTGAACGAAACATTTTTGAAAATTTTTTTTTTCCCTAACAGGTTTTCTCTATATTCTGATCAATATATAAAAAATTCAAGCAATTTGGAGGAGGTCACTTCCATTGACTGCCTGACTCTTACAAAAAATGACTCTTAAATAAAAAATCTATAAAGTGACCTCCTTTTCTGACTCTGATCTTTTCTGATCTCCCCCCTTGTCCTTTTTTATCCTTTTTTTCTCAACCCCTCTTCTTAAAAATTCTTGCAGAACGACTCGACAAACTTGAATATGAAGCATAAGAAAGTAATTCAAAAGATGCTACCATTGAAAAAAAAATTCACAAAATCAAAGAGACCTTGAACTTTCAAGAAGAAAATATAACTAAAAAAATGGAAAAAAACAACAAATTTGGGGAATGATATAAATTAACTAGTAAAAAAAACAGTGGACTTAGAGAACCGCTCACGCAATTTAAGGATCGAAGGTGTCAAGGAAAAAGAAGGTGAAAGCTGATGATTGTAGAAACTCGGTAAAAGAAATAATCAAAAATAAACTTAGCATATCTGAAATGCAAGAAATGATAAGTTATCAAGAAAAATAATCTTCAAACTGCTGAATTATTTAAATAAAACTTCTGAAAAACGCAAAAAAAAATAAAAGAGACTGGACTATATATAAACAAAGACTACGCGAAAGAAACAATAGAAGAACATCGAAAGAAACTATGGGAGGAAGTTAAACGACTTCGTAAAGCTGGTAAGTACGCCATTATTAAATTTGATAAAATTTATTGCAGAGACTTTAAAAAATAAACAGCTGTTTTAAGCGCATTTTCTAACAACTTTTTATTTTCTAAAAAATCATTATAGCTAACGAAACAATAGACTTTGAAACGCTGCATTTGAATATCTTTGAAATTGCTAATAAATGTTTACCACATAACCGTTAGCTTTTTAAGCGAAAAATACTCCGATTCTGCATATTTTGATATACAAAATTTAAATTTGAAATTAAAACCGCTACAAATAACTTTACGGTAATACACATAAACATAAGAAGGTTACTTATTACTATAGACAAATTAAAAAACTTTCTCCTTGAATGCAAACATACTTTCAGTATGATCTGCCTTACCTAGACTTGGTACTCTGACGAAGCAGCAGAAACAAAAACTTTAACCTCCAAATTCCAAACTATAAATTATTCTCTTAAGAAAGTTCAGTTAACAAAAGCGAAGGAGGAATTGTGAATTATATACGGAATGATTTAAACATTTCAAAGATAAGAAATGATCTTTCAAACTCTGATGGCGATAATGAGGTCCTCACAATTGAAGTTACTAACACTGCCTTAAAAACTTTCTAGTTTCTACATGCTACAGACCACCTGATGGTAATACTTGTAAATTTTCGAATTATATGAAACGTATAGTTACAAAAAATAAAGAACAGAAAAAGTTATTCATTATTGAAGATATAAACAGGGCCGCCGAGAGGGGGGCAATACGTGCCCCAGGCGCTAAGATTATAGAGTCGCCAAAATTGATAATTTATTTTAAGTGTTTATACAATGTTTAACTTTTAGTTTAAATGTTTTGTGATTTTAAATGACGTTTTTATAGTATAGTTTCATGAAATAAATAAAAAGTTTATTTAATTTACAACGTCGGTTTTCATGTTTACGGATTATTATGAACCTTGTGCTGAGATGAATACTTTATTCGGTAATATCCAAGCTCTCTACGTGTTTTTCAGGTGCAGTCTGGCTAGATGGAAGATTTTTCAAGAATTGAATGGAATCTCTCTTCACAAGTTTTGTGATACCAGGTGGTCAGCTCGGATTGTTGCTGTTAAGCTAAAAGCAAAACGACCGTAGGAAATAATTACTGCCCTTAATCGCACTATCTTGACCTTACTGCTGACATGCTAAATCAAGTAAGTCTTTGATAAAGTTTTTTAAATCCTTTGAAACTGTTGTACTTCTGACCTTTTGGTATAAAGTTCTTCAAGTAGTAAATGAAGTAAGCCGTTTGTTCCAGTCAACTTCACTAACAATAGATAACGAAGTTATTCTAATTCAACAGCTAATAAGCGATCTTGGCCGCATGCGCTCAGCATGGAATAATATTTTTACTGAAGCGAAAGCTGTTGCAGGTCCTCTAGGCTTTGAAACGGAGTTTTTGACAAAACGAAAGAAGAGAACGAAACGGTATCACGATGAACTTGCTAATGCAGCTTTCTGCTATGAGAGCCCCGAGCATCAATTTGAGGTAAACATCTTCAACGTTGCTCTTGATCATTTTATTTATCAAGTTCAGTCAAGCTTTGACATAGTAAAGGGTGTTTCCTCAAGATTCTCATTCACCTGGATGAAAGACCAAGAAACAGATTCTCAAGAGATAAAAGCTTGTGAATTAGCACAGTTCTACGCCTATGATGTCAAAGAAGACGACTTTATACAAGAAATTTTGCACCTTAATCCTCTGAAGGAGTCTTTGTTTTTTATTCCTGGAAACACATTGAGCCTTCCCAAATACATTTAAAGAGTCTGCAGCCTATTTTTCCATATGTATGCATCTTAATTCGAATTTTTAATACAATGCCAGTATCTGTTGCAGAGGGTGAGCGATCCTTCAGTAAACTTAAATTGATAAAGAATTATTGTAAAGTACTTTGAAAATAGAAGCGAAATACTTAAAAAATACTTAAAAAATTGAAGCTTTTCATATTATTCTAATCAAATACAAAAATTTAACGGAGACTAAAAAAAGACATGGGACATTATGAAGGAAATAATCGTTAAAAGTATATCTAATTTTTACAAAATGTCTTCTAGAGTAATAATTAAGTGAATCAAACAACAAGCGAGATATTTCAAATGAGTTTAACAACTACTTTGCCAACATTGGTGCTGATTTTGCATCAAAAATTCAATCTCACACTGTTCTTTAAATTTCAATGAAATAAATCAAGACGAACTTGAAATAGCTATAAAATCAATTAAAATCAAGTCCCCAGGGATCAATGATATCTCTTGCAAAGTAGTGTCAAATGTTTTTGAAGAAATGCGTAATCCAATTTACCAAGTATTTAATTCATCAGTTACAACAGGTATCCTTTCGGTATTCTCAAAACTTCTATAACGAATAATCTATAATAAATTAAACGAATATTTAAAAACCAACAAAATTATCAATAAAGGTCAACATGGTTTTCAAAAGCTACACTCAACCGAACATGCAATCTTTGACCTCTTAAATAGGATAAGTAGATCATTTAAAATAAAAAAATTTACACTAGGGATCTTTATTGATTTGTCAAAGGCATTTGACACCGTCAATCATGAGATTTTATTGACAAAATGGAAAACTATGGTATAAAAAACCACGCTCTAAATTGGTTTAAAAACTACCTTAATAACAGACAACAGTGAGTTATTATAGATAGAAAAAGCAACTTAAATTTACTAAAAACAAAATGTGGTGTTCCCAAAGGTTCCATTCTTGCTCCTCTTTTGTTTTTTATTTATATAAACGATCTTCTAAATGCCTCTAATATCTTTAAAACTATAATGTTTGCCGACGATACAAAATTATTTTACTCATCAAAGACAATTGAAGACCTCTTTGAAAAAAAAATGTTGAACTAAAAAAAAACTAATAAATGGTTTAAATCAAATTAACTGCCACTCAATATAGGAAAAAACTAAGTATATACTATTCCACTCTAGAACAAATGAACACACTAAATATATTTCAAATAAATATTTTTCAAAATATATTTTTCATGTTTAAATATAAACTAAGTCTGGTTCCAGAAACAACAACGTTTGAAACAACAAGGCTTTCAAAATTCTCAATTACATATCGCGGTCCCTATTTATTTAACAAGTTAGTTTCCAGAAACGAATCGCTGTTAAACTTAAACAACGAACACTCTCTGAAAATAAAGCGAAAATCTACAATAATCAAATTAAACAACTATAAGGAATTTTTTAAAAATTAAAAAAAAAAAAAATTGATGTAACTTAGCTTTTAATACAAATCGATAAAAAAAATAAACAAGTAATAATATTAATAAAAAGGTATATATGTAACACATACATATATACCACGTATGCAACTGATTTTTTATGTGTATTACACGTCTAGAAAAAGGTACTTGATGACAAGACTGACTTAAGCCTTCTATAATTACTAAGAAGTAATTCTTCTTATCAATCTTACACAAATTTCGTTTTTATCATATTTATACACAAACATAATTTTGATATGTGGTAAACAAACTTATATTGTAACATTTAAACATTCCTCCGAAAAATCACATTTATTTTTATTTCATTTTTTATTTTAATTGGATGAATATAGAGATATATTTCTCGGATTATTTTACGTTCACGATATTATATTGTTGTAAATGGCATTTATTTTAATTACGCTTCGGAGTTGTTTGGAATGATATTTTTATTTACTTCGTATATTTCGAACTTTGTGTTAATGATATTTATATTTGTATATCTTTACCGCCAACCTGTGATTGGTTACTAAGGTCGTGCGGTTAACCGAACCGAACCGTTCTTTCGGTGAAAACCGAAACAAAAAAACCGAATCGAACCGAACCGATCTAATTATTTAAATCAAAATAAAAACCGAACCGTAACTGAAAAAACTTTTAAAAACCGATTTAAAATTTTAAAATTTCAAAAACATTATTTGACATCAAATTTTTAAATAAAATATAATTGTTATTTAATTTAAGAAATTTCAAACCGCAGAAAAGCAAAGTTAAAAAGGGAACAATGAAAAATAAACATAATAAAATAGCTTGCCGTGAAATTAGAACAAATGTTGCGGACCATGATGGAGTAAGATTTTTTAAGGGTTGGATATCAATATCGTGTAGTATAAGCTTTTTCTAAAAAGATGTATTTTTTTAATCTTATTTAAATTTCTAATATTGTTTATAATATTTATCTTATAATATTATTATTTTGGAAACCTCGTTTTCTAAACTGTTTTCATTGTATAAATAATAAAACTGATATAATCAAAATAATTTGTTGTTTAAATATTATTAATGCCTTTAGGAGCATGCAAGGCGTAAAACAGTTTAATATTTGCATTGTAACTAATAATGTTCTAAAAAATAATTAAAATACATTTTAAGGATTTTGAAAAATTATTAGTTAAACTTATTTATATTGAACTATGTTTATGTTTATTATACGGTTTGGTTGTCTTACTAATCATTTTTATTTTATTTGCATTAAAGATGCCGAAAGAAAGTGATATTTGGAAATTTTTTGAAAAGTCCAGTAAATTTGAAGCCAAATGTAAAATTTGCTTTAAATCTTACAAAATCAACTGTGGCAGTACTTCAACAATAACCAGCCACGTCAAAACTAAACATGAAGCATCTTGGAAAGAACATCTTTTGAAAACTACAGAGATACTTAATAAACAAAAATTTAAAGAAAAGGAGACAAAAACAACGACAATTGAAAGTTGCATTATAAAAAACCAAAAATATGGGTTAAATGATCCAAAGCAATTAAAGTTTGACCTAGATTTAACAAAATTTATTTGCAAGCTTGGTCTACCTTTTGAAATTTTAGACAATGAAGGAGCACAAGAGTTTATTGATGAAGTAAATAGCAAGTTTACTGTCAAATCTGCATCAACATTTAGACGTCAAAAGCTTCCTATGTTGTATGAAAAGGTAAAGGAGGGTTTGCAAATAAAATTTCTCAAAGACTTTCCAGAAGTAACTGGAGTTAGTTTTACAACAGATCTCTGGACAAGTCGGAACAATGATTCTTACATGAGTCTTACAATTCACTACATTAGTTCAGACTTTAGTTTAGTAAGTTTTCTCATTGCTTGCACACCATTTACTGGTAGACACACTGGGGTTGCAATTGCAGTAAACCTGGACGCTTTTATTGCTAATTTAAACTTAAATGAAGAAGTCCATCGAGCCTGCGTTAATGACAATGGGAGCAACATTGTTTTAGCTGCTAAAGAAAGTGATGAAATTAATTCTGAATTGCGCTGCAATGATCACACAATCCAGCTAGTTATTTTAAAAGCAATCAAAAATTCAATTGAACTTTCTAAAGCAATAAAAAACTGTACAGATTTAGCATCACACACACATAGAAGTGCTCTCTCTACGACCAAGCTTCAAGATGCTTGTGAAGAACTTGGAATTAAGCCCAGGAAATTGATTGTTCCATGTACAACTCGATGGAATTCTGATTACATGTGCATTAAGTCAGTCCTTGAAGTCAAAGATGCAATCAAAACACTTGCAAAAACCAATGATGAGTTTGAAAGGTCATGTCCCTCAGATGATCAATGGAAGACATTAGAATACAGCATTCCATTTCTTGAAAAAATATACAACATTTCAGTAACTTTATCAGCTGATAAAAGACCAACAATCCAAGATGTGATACCTGAATTATATTCCTTGCACCAAGAGCTTCTTTCCCATCAACATCACAAACATAAGCCAACAAGAACATTTATAAAAATGCTGATTTGTGAACTTCAGGAACGATATCCTCTTAACGGTGCTGAGCAGTTGATTAATTGTTTTGCAAATTTTTTAGATCCACGTTACAAAGGCCTGCATTTGATTGAATATAAAAAATGTGATGAAATAAAAGAAGCAATATTGACTCAGGAAAAAGAGAAAAAACATGAAAAAGCTTCAATGAGTAGCAGCAAAACAGACAATGAAAGTAATGAAAATGTTAAAGTTAATCACCATGAACTGCTTAGAAAAAGACTGAAACAAGATATTTTAGCACGCAGTGCTTCAACGATGACTAAATTGGGTTTAGAAATTGATCATTATTTAGCAGCCGCAACAGCTGAAGAAACGACAGATATTTTAGAGTGGTGGAAAACTATGAAGTTGCAGTACCCAATTTTATCAAACTATGCACGAAAATATCTTTGTATACCAGCAACTTCTGCAACTTCAGAGAGGGTTTTTTCTAGTGCTGGTAACGTTGTCACTGCCAGAAGAACTACGTTGGCGGTTGAGAATGTTGAAAAAATGGTTTATATAAAAGAAAATATTAAGAAAATAAAAATTAATTTTTAGTTTTTTTTGGTAAAAATCTGTAAGTCTAAATTTATTTAATAAATGACCTCTAAAACTTTGTTTTCTTTTAACCGAAACCGAACCGATCAAAAATAAATTTAAACCGAACCGAAAAAAACCGAATTGTTAGTTTAATTTTTAAAACCGAATCGAAAAAAACCGAACCGAAAAAAACCTTAACCGCGTGGCCTTATTGGTTACTTGTAAATACTTTTTAGTTGTAAAATAAACATGTATATAAAAAAAAAAGACCCGTATTTTTACGGGTCCGATCTCAGCTAGTATTAAATAATGACCTTTTACATTATTATAAAAGTATCAATGGATTTGCATTTAATTATTAAAAGTTAGTATAAAATAATCAATGGAATTTAAAAATTCTTTTAGGTATACCCCGGAATTGCTATTTGGTTGTAGTTAGGAAAAATGTTGGATTCAAGTGTGATTTAAAAACAGTCATGTAATCTGCTTATATTTTTAATAAGTTTCTTTTAAAGTTATGGTGAAAATGTAGGGATAGATGTTAGTAATATAGTTTGCATGGTTACTTTGTTAGATACGTCTTTTTTTATTCGAGTGTTTTTGTATGACATTTATTTTTATTATTTATAATCATAAACCTATATTAAAAACTAAATTTACATAAAATGTTTTTATATAAAAATTGTGATGAAATAAATGACTATTTTTATATAAAAAACACTACATGTTTAATTCTAGAATCGAAATCTGAAAACAACTTATTTATTTCTGAAATTTCCAAAAAAATTTTTACAATTTAATATTGGATTTGTAAAATTGCTTAGTCAGCAAAAAACTGTTAAAAAATTTAAACTTTAAATTGAGAAAAATATTTTTAGTTGTTATTTCTTGATCTTACCAGCTTTTTTAATAATAAAATTTTTGAAAATAACACTTATTATTTGATTTATTGACAATAAAAATGCATCATTTGATTTTGTATTAAACATAAAAGAAATAAAAAGGGGTTCATCACTTAAATAAAGTCATCTACAATTCAAATTCAACTAAAATTTTCTTAAAAAATATTATACATTTATAACTTAAGAGTAATATATCTACAAAAGGTGCATCCATCTCTTTATTATGAAATAATTGACACAAAAATTGTCGATACAGATATAAAAAAGGATACGGTAAAAAATTTTAAAATCATAAAGCACCAGCTGTCTAAACAAAAAAAGATTTCAAATAAGACTCCCTTTTTAAAAATTACAGCTTATAAAAACAAAGTCATAATAACTCAAGTGTACAAAAATGAACAGACTTTAAGCATCAAAGCTTTTTAAACACGATTTTCCCCAAGAAATAAAAGACACAAAAAATATTATAAACTAAATTTGGATGACCAATCTTTACCCTCACCGCCTCCAATGATGTTCCAACCTCCAGTCAACTTATAGAACATTTCATCGTCTAAAGGTGCATTAACGTCTTTACGCATAGACAAGAAAATATAACCTCCAATAAATTCGTGAACCAGCCTTACATCACCTCCGACAAGTGAAAAAACAACTGTATCTCCTTCACAACTTATAATCATTTCTCGAGTTTCCCAATTTACATTCCAGTTTTTCATAGTACTGTAGCGCCATTGTTTTACAGTGAGACGCGAAGCTACATCATACAGCATTATTCGATTGGTGCCTATTCCAACGATTTCCTGTTTTACAAAAAAAGTTAACAATGTACATAACTAATATTAATCAATAACAACAGTTTTGCTTTTGTAATCGTATAGGTATGCATCATTACAAAAATTTATCAAAAGTTTGCTTAAATTATTCACCAACAATAAAATAAATGTTTAGCTTGATACGAAATTATACTTTATACAGAATATTTTTATTTTATTTATAAAGATGTTTGTTAAATGTTTTTAAAAAACATAATCTTCTGAATTTTAATTATAGTTTAAAAAACTTGATACCTTTAATATCGGGACAACCTGGATTACGCATAAAATGCAGAATTTACCGAATATAAAACATGTCTAATACTAAAGTTTTCAGTTTTCTCAAAACCATAAATTTAAAGTAGTATCATTTAGTCGAATTAGAAAAAAAGTTCAATAATTTGCTAACAAGCAAATTATTGTGATGCTGATGATAAACTTATAACAGAAAATGATACCAAGTTAAATATTAATTTAAAAAAAGAGGACAAGAAAAGCTTGCACTAATGTCTATCAAAATAATTAAGTTTTGTATTTTTCATGAGACAAGTGAAAGAATAATCAAGGTATTAATAGCAACTTTCTGGTTCCTACAATAGTATGAACCAATTTATTTAATGTAAATTTTGATAATTTAAAAAACTTCATAAATAAAAGCTGCGTAAAGATAAGAGTGAACCTCATAGTTACATAAAAATACATTTTGCTGTTACACTTAGATTGAGATTTCTATTAAAATAGTGTTCAAGGCATTTATTTATGTACTTTTTATACATTTAAGATGGTGTAAAAACAAATTCTTACTTGTTTTTTCTTACTGTCACGAAACTTTGCGTTAAAGCGAGTTATTCCATAGTCTGGCAATGATTGCCATTGGCGGATAAAACTAAGTTTAGCTTCCTGTAAAGCCAATTTAGAGAATGATGAATGTGCCTCAAGAATACGAGCTGCTATCTGAAGAACCAAAAACATTACTACCATTAATAAGTAAATACATTCATTCTACTAGTTCACATAAACCATTACAAACAACATTACCTATAAATAAATCAAGTTTTTTTAAATTTAAAAATACAAAACCTGTTTGCTTTTGTATTTAGCTAACAGTCTGGGAGGAACAAAATCTTCAGGTTGCATTCCAGCCTGCTTGCAAAAAGTAAAAACATTAAATAAATAATATTAACACAATTAACTATTAGTATTACTACAAACAAATAAATTTTTTAACTATACATGATCTCCAGCAGCATAGTCTGAGTCATCTTTAGAGGAATCATTTTGCATGCTTAAAAATGTTTTTACGCCAGCCATTTCAACATTGTAAGAAGGGTCAGCCATGGTTTTTCCTTTCGAAGCTAACCTACATGCAGCCATCCATTTTATATATTGTTCAGCAGATAAACAACCCAATTCTACTTCGCAAATGTCAGGACCAGGAATACGTAATTTGATATTGTATTTATTTTTTGTAACATTTACCTCAGGAACAATATCACAACCTAAAGTTCAATTTAAAACATTAAAAAAAAAAAATTATTAATTAAATTTAGTACTAACATTTTCTTACTTAGTATATATAACCCCTTATCTTGCCAAGGCAGTAAAAAATTAAAAAACTAGTAGCCTCCTTAACAAATTATGATTTCTTGTAGTACAGAAAAGGAGAGAAATATATCTGTAGCCAAACTGGCATTGTTGTATCACACCGTTTTGTACTATTTTAATTTTTGATCACTAGACTGTACAATGAAACTAAATTCAGTGATCTTTAAAGATTCAGAAGTTGAAAAAAAAATGGCTCTAGCTCTTACTAAATATGAGGCAGAAATAAGAGTGCCGCTACATCAACTGAGAGTATGCTATAAAGGTACGAAAAACTTGTAACAATTTGTTATCTAAATAGGCTATTGTAGATTTAAATATATGTGTATATTTAAATATACTATAGTCAAATTTTGTAGTTCAAACTATGTTTATTTTTTAAATAAACATAGTTTGAACTACATTCAATGAACTAAAACAACACTAAAGTCAATAATAGTAATGGAATAATTAAAGTTCTTGGAGTAACATCTAGATTGCCAAAAACATTTGGGAATAATTTATATTGACAAAATGAAAAAAAATATTATAAGTTGTTTATTTAGACAACAGTTATTTTTATTGATTTATTTTAACATTTCCTAAATATTTCTTGATTGGTTTGTGTAATTGAAAACTGAAAAAGTTTGTATTAAAAATTAATTGGATTAAGTTTAAAATAATGTTTTTGTGATTTTTTTTGTCAACCTTTTGTTCCCTATAAATAAATAAAAAACAACCTTTTAAATTAAATTTTTGTATTGGTTGTCCCATTGACTCTGACTGCTGCTTAAAATAAGATATATGCGTGTCTTTAAACAGGAAATAGTAGGTTTTCACATTCTTTCCAAATTTTTTGTTTCTAATAAATTAATTAAAATATTTAAAAGAATTTGATATCTAAAAAGTTCAAAAACACTGAAATGATTTTAAAAAAATCCACCTACTTTATAATCATCAAGTTATCTTTCATTTCTGGAATATGGGTTAAGATCTAAACAAAAAATTTAAAAAAAAAAAAAAAGTTAATAAAACAAAAAAAATAAAAAAATTAGCAAATTTAAAATAAAAAGAACAAATAAATAACAATACAAATAATATAATAATAATAAATATATAAATAACTACAATTACAAATAAATAACAATACAAATAACCAATAACTAAATGCACTTAATCAAACTGATTAGCTTGAGCTTTTATTTAAATATTAAATTTCATTAAATTAAATGTTATTCATTTATATGTTATTTATTATTGACTGGCTCATGAGTTTTGAAAAGTTTTTAAAAAGTTACAAATAAACTTTAGACTTAAAATATCAAATATTAAAATACCAAAACATATCAGACCAGATTACCACAACACAACATTTGGTTGAAAATATAAAGCAAGTTTGCTAATTGTAAAAATATCGATTTATGGGTCTTGAAGACCCGAAAAAAAAAACCCATAAGAAAAACCCATAGTTAATATCTTGAAGAAGATTATAGTGATAATCCAATTCATTCATTATTCTTTTCTTCTTCTAAATTACCTGGACTTTATGGAAAGTTATGATAATAAAATAATAAAAACTAAACAATTGTTTTATTAAGTGTAACAATTCATCTATGAAATTCTTTTGCTTGCAAAACACAGATAAAAGATCCATTTCTAAGTTCATATATATATATATATATATATATATATATATATATATATATATATATATATATATATATATATATATATATATATATATATATATATATATATATATATATATATATATATATATATATATATATATATATATATATATATATATATATATATATATATATATATATATATATATATATATATATATATATAATCATTTATTAAAAAATATGACCCTTATATTTTAAAGACATTTTTTTTTGAAAAGTTTTTGAAAAATTTTATTCTTAATGTAGAGTTTTGTTTTTGTTTTATTTTTTACTGGTCCATTAAAAAATACTGATTTTGATTTCTTCATAGTTTTTAAAACTAAATGTTGTCTAAAACTTACATTTGATCAAAATTTTGATATAAAATATATCACATCACATTTTTAATTAAAAAAATTTTAATATAAAATATATCACATCACATTTTTAATTAAAAAAATTTTGATAAAAAATATATCACATCACATTAAAAAAATTTTGTAAGCAAATGTAAGGTATAAATGTATATAAAACATTTACAAATTCAAGGTTTATTTAATTCCTACTACCCCCTCTAGCTTTAAAATAACTGACTTGTTTATCTTTTGTTATCCGCTTTTCAGATTTCTATTTTGAAAGTTTATCATAAACAATATATCTATGTAACATAATTAGTATATTGTATAACACACAAAAAAAAAAAAAAAAAAAAATTAAGACAGCATTTTGAAACTCTCTTTTATTTCTTTGTTTTGCTCATGTAAATGTTGGTTAGGAGATTGATGTCCTTACTATTTTTTTGCACTAAAATTCTTAACTCTTTTTCTGGGATTATCAAATCCTATAATCCAATTGATTACTTACATAAATATTTATTTACATAAATATCACCTGAAAAGTTCTGGCTATAAATAATATCAACAGAATACAAAACTTATTAAACATTTTAAATAAATTTATTTTAAAGAATAGTGGATAAGAATAGAAAAATATAACTTTTTTTATTAAATATTTTTATTAAGTTTATTGATTTGTATTTTGCTCATTTCTTTCTTTACTCTGTTTATTTTTTTTAGGCAGCAATCATTATACTAGTTTTGTTCAATATGAGTGACTCACTGAGTTAGTAAATTTTTAACTAGACAACATTGAACAGAAAGGAACCAACTTTATTAATTTATATGGATATATAATTTATAGAATATTGTTCATATTATATATAATATGGACAATATTCAATAGAAAAGAACCAACTACAAAAATCTCTGACTTGAATGATGACATATAAAAAAAAATTCTTTTACAACTGAAAGGCATATAAAATCAACATTTTAAAACTTTATTATATCACATAAGATATTGCAGTTGGTTTTTTTTGATAAACATAAAAAAACTTGAATTCGATAAAATTTCATGATGTAACAAATTGTTGGTTGGTTCCTTTCTATTGAATATTGTCCAATTCAGGATCAATGAAATGAGATATCAAATGTTCATATAAATGATAAACGGATTAAACTCAGCAAACAATTAACTTTTAGAGGTCTCAACTTACTGGTCTTGAAGTATTTGCACTAGTATTTGAAGTGTTAGGTGTTGTACCTTCAAGTGTCATCTATAAAACAAACTTTAGAAATAAAATACAGCATACAACAAAGAAGTCACACAACAAACAACACCCAACACAGAAGTCACACAACAAACAACATACAACAGCATACAACACAGAATTCACACAACAACCAACATACAACACAGAATTCACACAACAAACAAAACTTATAATTTTACCTGCAACTCATTCAGAGCTGAATCAATATCGTCAACCTCGTCTGAATTCAAACCTGTTTGAGGATTTTGCAATGCAACTTTTACTTGAAATTGTAACGCAGCAAAAGTAATAGCTTCTTCTTCAGTACAGTCAACATCTTCTGATAAAATTTGCCATTTTGCTTGTTCATAAATTTGATTAATACGCACTTCATCTACCTTTAAAATAAAAAATATTTTAAATTAACCTAAAAAGTTTTATTAAAATAACTCAAATGTTATCAAATTTTAGTTGGTGATTTTATTTATTATCATGTTCAGAAAGTTACACTTGAAACCGATGAGAAGAGATAGTGGCTAATTTTTTTAACTTTAATAATTCTTTCAAGAAGTTATAACCTGATAAATTGATGAGTCTTCTATTTCTTGGTTTTTAACAAAAAAAAAAAAAAAAAAAAGAATAATGGAAGGTGAAGGGTATCAAAAAAGGTAATTAAGCAATTAGGTCCTATCAAGTTTTACTTGCAATTCTGCAGCATTTTTATGACGCAACGCTTGTGGATCTTATTATTTTAATCTATAATCGTTATTTCATTTGGTATAAAAACCTTGCTTGAAACCTGATTTCATGTTCATCAAATTTTATTTAATAGAAACTTGTCAGTAAATCATACTTTCACAAAAAAAGAAAATACAGTATACACACTCAGAAGAGACAACCCAAAAGCAGTATCAGCTTTTAGTGTAAAAAACTAAATTATATTCAGTAAGTTATTAGTAAATAAAAATTAAACTAAAATTCTTCAAGTTAGCCAGTGGAACAATGGAAAGTGATTATCTTTTGTAACAAGTTTTATTAAAAAACAGTAACAAAAACCCAAAATTGTTTTGAAGAACAAATGATTAGATATAACCTAGATTAAAACATATATTTATTTTTATGAAACAGCTAACAACCAACAACCAACAAAAGATTTTGGCCAAGACTTAATTTGATAAAACAAAGCTCAGGTTGGATTTGAAGATCAACTAGGAAGTAGATGTAATTTTAATAAATAATTTTTTCAATATTTGAACCTCAGAACAGATAGAAATTATGTAAAAACAAACAATGGTTGGTAATAACCCTCCCTGCCACAGTTAAAATATTTTAGGGCTGTATACAATTTTTTTTATATAACATATATAAACTTATATCAAGCTTTCATTAAATATATAAAAACTGTTTTTCAAATATCCACTTTACTTAAGACAAAAAAATATACTTTTTAAATTCTTTTCTGGAACTCATGAATTTTGAACATATTTAAATAAAAATTTAGAACAAGTTATTTCTTAAAACTAGAACCAAAAGAGAGCAACATGTGGTGAATGCTAATTAACATGTGGTGAATGCTAATTAACATGTGGTGAATGCTAATTAACATGTGGTGAATGCTAATTAACATGTGGTGAATGCTAATTAACATGTGGTGAATGCTAATTAACATGTGGTGAATGCTAATTAACATGTGGTGAATGCTAATTAACATGTGGTGAATGCTAATTAACATGTGGTGAATGCTAATTAACATGTGGTGAATGCTAATTAACATGTGGTGAATGCTAATTAACATGTGGTGAATGCTAATTAACATGTGGTAAATGCTAATTAACATGTGGTGAATGCTAATTAACATGTGGTGAATGCTAATTAACATGTGGTGAATGCTAATTAACATGTGGTGAATGCTAATTAACATGTGGTGAATGCTAATTAACATGTGGTGAATGCTAATTAACATGTGGTGAATGCTAATTAACATTTCTCAGTTTATTATGACTATTATTTCTCAGTTTATTATGATTATTATTTTAACAATTTTTATTATACATAAACAAAGTTCATAATTATATGGTTACTAAGAAGGCAGAGTTGAGTAAATATAGTTTGGTTCTTTCTTTGGTTCCAATATTTTTTTATTTTTAAAATTTAAATTTTCAAAAGAAAAAAGAGAACTACAATAAAAGCCTTTTTATAGTTGCTAAGCAACTTTAGTTGTATTAAAATCTTTAAAAATCAGCTCCACGTTTATACTTCACACTTAATAATCTGATGATCCTACTCTTTTACATCAGCTGCAAGCAACCACTAATTAGAGTTAAAAGTTATTGGAAGAGAAAAGATGAAGTTTATAGTTTTTTTTATATATTTTTACAAAAGACTGAATTATCAATTTAACTAGATTAAAATAAATTATCAAAATTTAAAATATAGTTTAAAAATTAGATTAAAATTTACCTTTGGATTAATGTCGAAAAAGGTGAAGTATTTAAAACGCAGAAGAAGATGTTCATACTCCTTTATATCCTATTAACAATTATATAGAGATTTAAGCAATCATGTATAAAGGAAACCAGAAAAAAGGAAACCAGAAAAAATTTCAATATAAGACATCAACATTAAAACAAATAGACACTTACCTGTTGCATAAGGGATTCAGAAGATGCTAACCATCTAAAAAAAAAATACACACAACCATGATACTAAAAATGAAAATTTGCAATAACAAAATTTTTTTAGCATAAAATATACCCTGTATTAAAAACTGCTCTCTCAACAAGTGACTTTCCTTGACCTAGTGCTTCTAATTGTTCAGCTGACACAGTAGTGGGACTATGCGTTAACATAGGAGACAATGCTGTACTGTATGGATTTAAACTGTCACTTCCAGAAAATGAATGATCTGACCCACCTTTTCTATTACCTTTCTGTGAAATTGGAGAGCTTGGTGTGTTTAGCAATGAAGTCTGACGACCAAGTGTTCCATTTCCTAGACTTCCTTGAGAACTATTATCATCAGAAACATTTGTTTTTGTACTTTTCCTTCTTTTTTTACCAGTACCAGTCTCAAATGGCTTTAAAAATGAAAGTTCTTCAGGATGGCGAATACCTAATTCTGCGCATAACTCTGCTACAGAATGAAAAACATCAATTGCAAAATTAACTCGAATATCTATACGTTGTAAGTCAGGTAATTGAAGCCTTATACTCTTATGTTGAGGAGTAAACAGAAGTTGAACATCATTTGTTATACCACACGATGCCAAAGTAAGCCTAGCTTTAGTTAGCCATATCTTTTTTTCAGGCCACCACAATGCATGATCAGAATAATCAGCAGTTACATCTTTAACACAAAAAATACACATTAAAATGTTGAATAAAATAAATAAAAATCATTTAATTAGATAATAATAAAAACTACAAATATAATCTACTAATAACTATTTTTTTAACTCTGATTTGCTGCTTATATTAGGGTTCAATTTAAAGCTATAATCACACTGTTTGATTGCACTGCATCATTATCAAATTTATATATAATAGTTGAAGTACATGTTCATTTTTTGAACTCTTTTTATTTAAATTAATTTTTTTTTTTTTTTTTTGTTATTTAAATTAATTTGATAGTTTTCAGAAGGAGATGTTCATTTTTTGCACTCTTTTGTTATTTAAATTAATTTTTTTTTTGTTATTTAAATTAATTTGATAGCTTTCAGAAGGAAATACAAGATTTATGAAGATCCCAGATGTGTATATAGATGGTGTTAAAGACCATCTTTGATATCATTCATGGGGAATGGTGTTAAAGCAAGATGCAAATTAATTTGTTTTGATAAAATTAATCAAAAGAAAATAAAAGATTTTTGAAAAAGAAGATTGCAGGCTTCAGATTTTTATTAACATATTAACTCTTAGAGAGAGGGTTATAGCCACAAAATAAGTAGCCTCCTCGTCTGTAGTGGCCTTCTCCGCCTTGAGGAGGTGAAGTAAAATTAAAAAAAAAAAAAAAAAAAAACTCTTAACCTGTGAGTAAAAATCTGTGACTTCTATAGCTGAAGAAGCTAAGAGCTTAATTTAGAGAAATTAGATGATCTATTTTAAACTGATGAAGATAATTAACAAGATAAGTATCCAGTTTAGGCTGATTTATTTAATTATTTAACTGAATGTTATTAAAGCATAACCTTTTTTGTGGGATAAAAAGGATTAAAATTTTAGACTTTAGAATATGCAACAATTATATTGTCCTGTTTTGAATTTTGTAGGTAAAACCTATGTTGTACAACTGTTATGTTGTATCAAAAGGAACGTTAAGAGTATTATATGATGCATAAATATAAATGTATCAAGAATATAATATTTACTTCGTTTTATTAATTTTATAAACAACGACGACAAGGATATGTTTCAATTAACTTTATTTAAATTCATAAAGCTAATATGATCGAAAATATGACAATTATATTATAAATATATAGTACACTAGTAGTAGTAAATTATAATACCCTAGTAGTAGTAAAAACACTTTATTATAGAATAATAATAGAAAGTTTACAAAACAACAACAACAACAACAAAAATTTAAAACGCTTTTAAATAAAGTAACAAATTTTAATGACTGTTTTAAATAAAAAACATTAAATATAAATTAATTAAGAATATTATAAAAATTTTTAACTTAATTTTGAAAATGTGTGCATTTTATGATTATGTTTGAATAATTTTATTTTATGATTAACTTTCTATTCAAATAAAATCTCCTAATCTTATAAAAACATTAAAAAAGATCAAAGATATTCAACCTTAACGTAATTATGAGCATAATTAAATAATTTTCACTAGAGTTTTAATTTTTCAATTTTATATTACAGGGCTCGATTTAATGCAAAAAAATCTAATCGCAAAAAAAAAAAGTTTTTTGCCACCTCCTCCCCCTACCTTTACATCCCTGGTGCCGCTTTGCGGTAATGGGGGAGGGGGAATTTACATTAATATAAAATTGTAACTTTTGTACATTAGTTTGTAATTGTTATTTTTTTAACATATTATCACTCATATTTAAATATTATCTTATAACTATCTGGTTTGGCAGAGTTTAAAATAACATAAGTTACTTTTATAATTTAAAGTTTAAGTTGCAGCTATAGTGTAATGAGCAAGTAACATATCTAATACTATTAAGATATTACTTTTAGTAATTATTTTTACTCAACATGATACTTAAAAAAGTAAAAGTAACAAAGATTACAATATTTAAACCACTAGTTTAAATATTGTAATATTTGCGTAAGGTTACCAGATGTCCTCTTTCAATGAAGGAGGGTGCGCTAAAATATATTTTTGCTCCTAGTTGTCAATTACATTAGGTTCCTAATTTTTACGTTCGCTGCCGTGATTAAATTCTAGTATGATTGACTGTCATGTAATCTAGCAAACTCTCCTACAGTAAAAGGCGACATATGGTAACCATATATTTGCATTAATCTATAATTATTCATAGAAAATTATTTACGTTCATGCTGACGATACAACACGTGTTACTTTTAAAGAGTTTATATTGTTATTGTAAAAAAAGTTATAAAACAACAACAACAAAAAAACTGTTTTAAAAATATAAAGAGCTAGTATAAATGTTAGTATAAATTATGCGGTAGTGGTGTAGTGGTAGAGCGCTTGCTTCATAAACAAGTGGTTCCGAGTTCAATCCCCACCACGTCCCTGGTAGTACCGCACTCAACTCGCTTCTCCGCGCAGCGGCCTTGTTCGTCAAGGTTCGTGTTTCGGAGTTATAAAGTTGAGAGAGGGTTATAACCACAAATAAGTAGCCTCCTCGTCTGTAGTGGCCTTCTCGGCCTTGAGGAGGTGAATTAAAATAAAATAAAAAAATAAAAAAATGTAAAACAATTTCCTGACACTGTAATATTGCTGTTTTATACAATTTTTTTATTTTTATCTTAAACATCTTTTTTACTTCCAACAAGGCTGCAAGCAACCATTAATTAAAGTTGGAAGTTACTGGAAGAGAAAAGATGAAGATTGTAGAGCAAGATAATGATTGACAGACAACTTAAAAGATTGCAAATTACATGAATCAGGAAAGCAAGATGAAGGAAGCGAATTTCAAAGAACTGATGTTCGAGGAAAAAAACTAGATGAATAAGAGTTTTTGGAGCACTTAGGAACAGTAACAGAAAAAGGATGAGACTTAATTGAATGACGAGTAACACGAGAATGAATTTTAGTAGATGGCACAAGAGACGATAGCTCTTTAGAGCAGTGCCCATTATAGTATTTGTAGAAAAGAGAAAGAGAAGCAACATTACAACGATGTGATGTTGAAGGTTGGCTGCAAGAGCAGGTCCAACTATGTTTACAATGCATTTTTGCACCTTGTCTAAAAGAGAAAGGGCATCATTAGAAGATCCACCCCAGATATGGAAACAGTATTCCATACAAGGCCGGATTTGAGATTTATAGAGATAGAGAATAGAATTCAGAGTAAGAAATTGTCAAGCTCGATAAAGAGATGCAACTTTAGTAGATGCAACTAATTTAATATATGGTTTCCAAGAAAGATCAAAGTAAGAGTTAATTCTAGAAGATGAAGGGTAGATGATTCATCGAGTACATTACCATTCATAAATATAGGAAGGTCTAAATTATTGCGATAACGATTGGCTGAAAAAAAATTAAGTTTTTTCTGAATTAAAGTTCACCAACCACTGTGAGCTCCATGCTGTAGCAGAAGTGAGATCCTTTTCAAGCTCAAATGCCTTCTCCGAGCAATTAGAGAGTGTTGGCTTCTTATCATGACAAGAATAAATGGTAGTATCATCAGCAAACAATGCCACCTTAGAGGTGAGAATATCTGGAAGATCGTTAATGTAAATTAAAAAGAGTATAGGGCCAAGATTGAACCATCAGGAACCCCTGAGGTTACAAAATAAGAAGAAGAGTGCTGTTCATTGAGGACAACTTTTATACTACCATTGGAAAATGAAAATTTCAATAATCTTAAAGATGTTGTCAGATACACCGTAAGAAGAAAGCTTATGGAGAAGACCAGCATGACAAACTTTATCAAACGCTTTAGAAATGTCAAGAGCGATGGCCTTAACCTCTCCACCTTTATCTAATGCACCATAAAACCTATAAGTTATTACTGTTAGCAAATCAGCCATAGAACAAGAAGATCGAAATCCATATTGATGATCAGAAAGTAAGTTATTAGATTCAAAATAAGAGATTAAGTGTTTGTTAATTAAAGATTCAAAAATCTTGCTTATGATATTGATGAAAAGTTCTTAGCATACAATTCAGCTTTGTCTTTAGGTGAGGTGACAGAGCCTAATTTTTGTGATGAAAAACGAGATTTCATGACCTGAGAATAGTGGGCTTTGGCATTAGACAAAACCTTTTTACAATGGTTCCTAGCAGTATTAAACAGACGTCTGCTTTCTGGAGAATTGTTTTGCTGATAGATATGGAAGTAATGGTTTCGATTGGCAATTGCAGCAGCACAATGTGAGGAAAACCATGGGGAAGAGCGAAGCTTGACCTGGAATCATAGAGAGGGAATAAAGGATTCCATGCCAGCCTGAATCCATGAAGTTATGTAAGATGCGCATTTGTTAACAGGAAGACAAAAGATTTTCTTCGTGATGACCCAAGGGCCATCACGAAGAATATTACAGAAAGAGTCCCAGTCAACTTTAAGGTAGTTGTAAAATGTACGATGATAAGGGGAATCTGATGATAAAGAAGAATTAGATAATAGTTTTAGAGAGATCAAACTGTGATCAGAGGCATAAAACATAAAATAAGTTAAAAAAAAAAGTAAATAAACAGAATTGTCCTAATTAACAAATTAAAATATTATTGTCATAAAACTTTAAACTTTATATTTGCGCAAAAACGTGCCTATATAGGCACGTTGGTCTATAGCTATAGACCATATAAGTCTTTAGTAGATCAAACAAGTAAGGTCAAAGCAAAAAAAACTTTAGATACCACGTTTTTTATAATTTATTTTTTCTTGATCCAGTGTACTATTAAAAATTTAAGTATAATTAAGTTTTTCATTCAAATGGTATGTGGATGTTTTCATTCAATTTTTTTTTATTCAAATTTTTTTGCAATAAAAAGTGAAAGAAAAAAATTTGGTTTAATAAATCGAATTATATTGCCTTAAGTTTAAGAATATGCTTAACTAGTTTTTTAAAGAAAAGTTACTTAGAACAGAAGTAAAATAATTTATTAATTTTAATTTTTACTTTAACTTTTGCAATCACTGGTTTAATGTTTGCAATAGAATGTTTCTACTTTTAAAACCATTATCAAGAAATAAAATATAATTAACTATTCAAAAGGTTTACAATTTAAATAAAATTTTCTTCCTCACTTGCACTGTTCTTAATCTGATATTGTTACTTTAGCTAGATATACATTTAATATTCAGCAACGATTCTTGCTGGGATGATGGGTATTACGGATGCCGCTGAATTAAGTTTATAACTATTGAGAGTTGGAAGACTAAAATTCTTTTGATAGATTGAATAGATTTCTTTTTAAATAAAATTCCTAAAAACAACTTGCGTATTTATAAAAAATTTTTGATCTTGATATCTCTTTAAAGAAAATATTTTAAAAATGGTATCGCATTTTTTATATTCTTTTCAAAATTTTTTGTTAAAATAATTTTTAGTTAGAAGCTTAAATTATGTGTTAACAACATATGCGATATAAATAGAAACATTTGTATGGCTAGTTTTTGGGAGTCCTTAAGTATATTTAACAAATTTAATAGTTGAGTAACTGTTACTGTAGTAATTAACTGGTTGTTTTGATTTAGTTTAAAGGTAAATTTACTGTGATGTACTTATTCATTCAGTAAATCAAACTAAATACAAATTTAAAATATTATTGGCTTCCACACAAAGATTTAAAGTAATTTAAATTCAAAGTACTGTATGTTAAATAGAAATCTCTGCGCAAGAGAGCAAATAATCATAATTCAAAAGAAAAATTTAGCTTGAAGTACTTTATGACCCCTAATAAAAAAACTTAGACAGAAACATTACTTTTAAGACTGCCTTAAAATGCTAAGTTAAAAAAGAAAATGAAATTAAAAAAAAAAAATCGCGAAAATACTTTTTTAAAGAAAAAACTAATTGCGAAGGTGTGAAAAGCAATCGCGATACGCTTAATTCGAGCCATGTATTACTTCATTAAGATTTCTTTCTCTTTTTATAGTTGAGCTTATCTATAATTTTCTCTCATTCAGTGTGTTTTTGAAGCGTTGAAAAGCAACAACCAAGTTAAAAAAAAAATTATAGGCGCGGTCAGGTATTGAGTGTGATCGCACACCTTTCCTGCCCATAACTGCCTTGGCCCTATACCTTTTTAATTTAAGTTAAGGATCTCCCAGAAATTCTCACATCTAAGCATTTGGTATTTTTCGCTGATGATACTACCATTTATTCTTATCTTGATAAAAAGCCAACACTCTCTGATTGCTTGTAGGGAGATATTTGAGCTTGAAAAGGTTCTCACTTATACTACAACATGGGGCTCTCATTGGCTGGTGAACTTTAACTCAGATAAAACTCAATTTTTTCAGCTAATCGTTATCGCAACAATCTAGGTCTTCCTATATTTATGAATGGTAATGTACTCAATGAGTCATATACCCTTCTAAGATTAACTCTTAACTCCAAACTTTCTTGGAAACCATATATCAAAACCATTGCAAAATTAGCATTTGCTAAGGTTGCATTTCTTTATCATGCTCGCCACTTTCTTATTTCAATTTATATTCCTCATTTCTGTAAATCTCAAATACTGCTGTCATACCTAAAGCAGATCTTCAAATAATGTTCTTTCTCTTCTAGACAAGGTACAAAAGGGCATTGTAAACATAGTTGGACCTGCTCTTGAAACCAAATTTTTTTATTAATACGATAATGGGCGCTGCTCTAAAAAACTAGCATCTCGTGTGCCATCCACTAAAATTCATTCTTGTGTTACTCGACATATAACTATCTAGTTTTTTTCCTCAAACATAAATCTGTTGGAATTTGCTCTCTTCATTTCATTTTCCTGATTCATATAATTTGCAATCTTTCAAGTAGTTTGTTAATCATTATCTTGTTTTATAAACTTCATCTTTTTTCTTCAAGTAACTTCCAACTTTAATAGTGGTTGTTTGCAGCCTTGTTGAAAGTGAAAATGTTAAATAAAAAAAAGAGTGATTATCTATAATGTCCTCACATTAACAAAGTACAAATAAGATGGACAATCATTACTAGATGGTCTGATTAAGTCTAAAATGTGATGCACTCTTAGGTTGCAGCAAGAAAACAATAAGTCTAGTGATTATAAGTCAAAAAATATCATATATAATACAATTTGTGCACACAATACAGTGTGATGGGTGCACCAGCACACTGTATTGTATGCATTTTACCAATCCAAAAAGTTTTACAAAAACAAATAACTTCACAAATCCTAAAAGTTTATAAAAAATGGGAGAAATCATCACTTACTACTCTCGTGGTGATGTAAGGCATACCAAAACTACAACAAAGATATTAAGAAAAAGTGATATTATGAATATGAAATAGAAAATGATTTAACTCAGTACTGCTAGAAAATTTTAAAATTAAAATGTTTATAAGAGGCTGCTAGTCTTTGTGCAAGCAGCTTCCAAGAAAGATCTAAGCTACCAAAAATTTGTGCATAGGTGAAATGAAAAAAGATTAGATTATAGGACACTAAATGTTCTATTTATTTTAAATGGCAACATTACAAATATAGCAAATATTATTCTAACGTTAAGTTATTTCAATATCAGAAATCTATTTATCAATTATTGATTGTGATAAAAACAGCAAGAGTGCAATCTAGATAAAATTAGCAAAAGAGAAAGAAGTAACAGGAATACTTCTGTTTAAACAAGAAAATTAGAAAAAACCTTTATGGCAAGTGCTATTTGACATTGGAACAGAAAGGAATGACAATAGATAGAGAAGAGTAAAAATTAATGAATTATATAGGTTAAAATTAATGAATTTCCATATAACATTCAAAAAAAATCTTGGAAGCTCTTAAGGCGAGTGATATGAGCATCAAGAAGTGTTTTTCTTTAAAGAAAAAACAATTTTCTTTACATTTATTATGTAAAGTAACACTATTTATAAGCGCTATTAATTTGAGGTAAGCTCAATGTAAATCTAAAGGAAAAAAATCTAGTTTGTATTCAAGTCTAGTTTATATTCAAAATATAAAATTTAATCAGTAAGTTATCACTATAATTACTGATAATTAATACATTAAAAAATTAAAATTAACTAACTTCCACTGACATTTTTATCCCATTATTTTGACTTTAAGCTGTGCCTCCTATTGTATTATGAAATTATATAAAACACCATATTTAAATGTATTCAAATTAAATAGTTTTAAAAAGTTATTAGACTTTAAATAAAAAATTAAACTAAATATAAAAAATCTCACAAAAAAAAAAAATAATAATTCATGGAGATAACTCAAATTTGTATTTTAAAAGGCCCAAAACAATCAAAGTTGATAAAATATAAGTTTGTTAAAATATATATGATAGATAAATTTAATTAGTGATACGAGAGAGAGTGCTATTTTCATAACTTTAGAATAAAAGACCCTATTTGTGATACTTAGTTAATAAAAAAGTCACTACTCTAAATTATGTATTTTAAATAAGTTACTAAATTAAGTAAATAAATAACAAATTGATTAAAATATTAATTAAAATATTACCTAATTTATTATGATAAAAATAAAAATTACCTAATTTTTCTACCAATTCTAACATCACAAAACCAACATGGCTTTCCTGGTTTACTTCTATACTTTTTTGAGTTTGCAAGTCTGTAACGTGAATATTGAGATGAAAGGTTCTAGTAGTAGTCAAAGAAGCTAAATTATTCGCCATTGCAAACTTTTAGTTAATAAATCGTACTGAAACAGAAGACAAGAATGCGAATTTTAGAACTTCTTGGCAAAAATAGACACGGAGACATCAAATAGAATTGAAAGATTTTTTAAATTTCCAAAGACTCCAGAAAAATATATCTCATATTATGTATCATGAAAACTTCGATTTAAATTTTTAAAATTTAAAATCTAAATATGCCACATTATAACGTTAACATACAAACTCCCGACTCAGTCGTAGTAAATCAATTTGCATAATTAGGTGAGGCGATGAACGATGAATATTCATAACTTAACATAATTTATATTTAACCAATTACCTTTAAAATTCTAAATACTCTTAAATTTCCGAAAATAAGGTTGTATTTCATAAAATATAAATAAAAAATAGATTTCTTTAGTTATCGCCAAAGACGATAAATTGATTAGTGACAAAATAATACTTTTAGATAAAATGTGCTTATGGGTGTTTATTGTGTTGGCTTACCAAACATTTCACAACAGTATATTTTGTTGTTTTATCCCTTTTTGATATCACATTCTGATTATTTTTTAGATACTTGAATTACAGTGGAACTGTTAAATCACGTTTACGTTCAAATAACAATGCTTAAATCTAACTTTATTTGAACAAATATAATAATACATTATTCTTAACTAAAAACCACTGCAAAAGCTAAAAAAAATAATATATATACAAAATAAGATAAAAGTAATAAATTATTTTGCAAATTTATCATAGTAACTCATTTTTAAAAAGCACAATGAAACAAAACAACTTTTATTAGCTAAAGTTTAATATTTTTTTAATTTCAATTTTTAGAAACAGATTATTCAAATTTTATTTTTAAATAACATTTTAATTAAAATTTATTTTTAAATAAAATATTTTTAATATTTATGTTCAACTTCCTAAAACTCTATGCTTAATATATAATAACTATTTTTAAAATTTAAAACAAAAATTTGATATACTGGTATTCAAAGAATATTAATTTAAAGTTATTACCAATACATCGAGATTAATTCTTAAACATTCTATTTATAAAATGTTCCCATGGGAATATTTAGTTGAAAAAAAATGCTAATTTTACGCTAATCGTATAAAGCAATAAATTTTTTTTACGTATTACCGTCAACCGTATTTAACTGTATTTAAATTGATTATGTTGCGATTAAGTTTTGATTAAAAACACTAATAAAATAAATATTGTTTTTGTAAACAAAGATGAATTTAAAACAAGATTTTGTTTATAATGCCATTCAAATGTAACAGCGTATAATTGTTTTTTTAAGTAAAATAACTAGACCCTCGTTTCTAATTTTGTTGAAATACTGAAATAAAATTTTTTTCAAAAATTTGACCGTTCAAAAAAATAGGTCTAATAATGATCTAATTTACCTTAAAAAGACGCTCCATATAATTTAGATTGATAAATTTTATGGGTAAAATGCTTATTGAGTTTACCTTTGTTAAATTATTATTATCATTTAAAAATACTTTGAGCCTTTACCAAAAACACGATTTTGAATTTATTTTTTTACAAGAAAACCTAACGCCACTCACTATCTACAATTCTTTTTAAAAACTACATATAAAAAACGCTCAATTAAGATACTGTAACTCATTAAATTTATGAAATAGCTAAAAGAAATCGTTAACAGCGTTAATAAAATAAATTTCCAAACGTTAAAAAAAACAAATAAAATATCTATGTGATTGATCTACGAAGATAAGGTTTAACTAGATAATAGAGGTGTATACACATATTGTGCATTAAAGAAAAAAACAATTTGAATTTTTTCATTTCCTCCATTTATTATTAATTAATTGTGAAACCGCAGTAATTAGGATTTTTTTTATTATAATTTTGTACAAATATTTATTCACTCAATTAAATTAATTTTTATAAATTAAGTGAATATACATTTCATTTTCAATATTTCTATTTTCATTATTAAATAAATTTACTTTTATTGAAGTAAGTATAAAACATTAATGCCTAAAATTTATATTCGCAAAGAGATGTTACATTATTCAGTTTTAAATAATTTAAAAATAAATATATAAATAATTCAAAATTAAATATATAAATAATTTAAAACTTAACAAAACCTAAAGTTAAAATAAATATTATCTTGACGATTCAAGTTAAAGTTTATAACTTTATTATTAAATTGCTATAACTTATTTATCGCGTTATATAAAGCAAACTCACGAACCAAAATCATTTAAAATTATTTTTATTCATGCAAAAACAATATTTATAACGTCGCGACGGTATAAATGACAAACATACTATTATACCGTCCTAATTATGAAACAGAGGTAAAAATATTATAAAACTCAAGTGTTGAATTGAAGCGCTTAAACATCAGGACTGGTAAAACAATATCCTTATACATGCGACGTCATTATGTAGTTGGTATCAACCACATAATGACGTTGTATGTTCTAGTGGCAATTACTAGTAATTATTTACAAGTTGCATTATGATAAACGCTGGAACATTTGATGAGGTGCAATCGTTGATAAATTTTTAAGTTTTTAAATAATAACATTTCTAAATTTTCTGTTGCGCTCAATAACTAGCCCTACCCCCCGTCTCATTAACTTCGCGTCAAAAATCCTCAACATTTTTTACATGCCCTTTGGACCTTGTTACAATTTCTTTTACTGCTAAATTTAAAGTTCTTTTACAATGAATTAGTTTGAAAATAAAATCAGAATAAAAATTAAATTACTTTAACTAAGCTAGCAAAAAAAAAAAAATTTATGAGGTCTAAGAGGCTTGGAAAAAACGTTGAGGGTTTCTTTATTCTTGAATAAACACCCATACTCGTTTATTTGGCACCTCAGCGGGCAATTTTAAAAGACTACTTGTGAAAAAATCATTTTTTAAAAATCTGCAACGATTTTCAAAGCAAGGCTGAGCTTGCAACAATCAAAACAAACTAAGGGTTTAACTAATATTAAATAATTAATAATAAATAATTTTAAATCATCATTTTAATATGATCCAAAAAATAAAACTGCGAAAAAAAGGAGAGAAAAAGAGAGAATTATTAAAAATATAATTTTTGTTAACATGTTGCTTTGAGATGTACAATTTTGCATATAAATTTAAATTTTAGGTAATTAACTACGGATCTTTAGAGATTACGGCAAACTTCAGCTTCAAGAATAAAAAAACCAAAAATAAAAATAGTTTAAAGGAGAGTTTCCACTCATCCGTTTTTCAACGGGAACGGGATAGGAAAGGAAAAAATAATCACGTAAGCATGAGTTTTTATTTGTCCGAAAGAAAACTGCGCATGCTCACGTGATTATTTTTCCGTTCCCTTTCCCTTTGTACAAAAACGGATGAGTGGAAACTCACCTTTACGGTGAAAAAAGCTGTGTCACGTAGTTCAATCTACAAAAAATTCAACTAATTAATCAATTTAGTAGGTTGAATTTTTTGTAGATCTGCAAAAAAAACATTTACTAAATAGTGGAAATAAATTTTACCCTGTTTAGTAGATGTTTTTTTTTTCTATTTAGTGAACGTTTTCGTTTTCGACCAATTTATTTTAACGATTTGAGAGATTTTTATTTTCAAACGATTTGAGATGATTTAATTTTCAACCGGCTTAAGGCGATATTCATTTTACACAACTAGCCTGTGTTTTTAAACATTTTTTACTTTGTGCTTTTAACTTTTAATTTTATAAAAAAAACATTGACAATAAACTAATAATAGACAAGTCTGACGTCAAACTGAAATGGCCTGCTACCGCAGACTTTACAACATACATCTATTTTTTTAAAGCCTGCTGCCGTTTTGACAAAAAGTTGATAGTTTTGCTGAAAAAGATATAGTCAATAACTTTTTAAAAAAAGCAAAACCCAGCTAGTTCAAATAAATTATAATTGCTGTTTCTTAAAAAAAGAAGCTACTCATTGTCCAAAAACTGACCCCTGAAGAGGAGTTAGTTTTTAACGACATTGGTGCAGTTTAGGAAATATAATAAAAATACAAGCAGTTTTATTTTATTGAGCATTAAATATAAATAATAATAAGTAATTATAGTAATCATAAATATCAGCAGAATTATGAGTTTGTGCGGCCGTGGCGCAGTGGTTAGAGCGCTTGCTTTATAAGCAGGAGATCCAGGTTCGAAACGAGCTTTGGACATATTTCGCGTCACGGTAAGGAAGGAGGCGTGAACTTTCTGGTTAAATGCACTTCCGCGGTGCTCTGTGACTAGACCGTTAGGACTTCTTTGGGCACCTAAATAACAAATAAATAAAAAAAAAGAGAACTGTTTCCAATAACAGAATTATTTTGATAAAGATTATAAACCATTAAATAACTTTCTTGTATATTATATTCAAACAAACTAAAATGAAACTAATGTTCAATCACCTATCAATCTCATAAACACAAAAATATCAACTTTAAAAAATAACAAAGTAACGAGTGTAAATGTAAAACGGATAGAGATGAACATGAATAAAGGTTTTCTTGTAACTGAAAAAATGAAGTTCATAACTTTCAACCAAGTTTGAATCTGGAATTTGAATACTTGGCGGGAAAATTTTTTGATTTTTTATTATTTTTAAACATTTTTATTCTGCAAGCCAACTTTTAGAGAACCCAAATACACCTGTAGTTTTCTTTGGCTCATTGATTTATTAAAAACATAATTTATTGCAATTTTTAACCACAAGTTTTTCAACATACTGAGATTTTAATTGATTAAACTGTATATATATATATATATATATTTATATATATATATATATATATATATATATATATATATATATATATATATATATATATATATATATATACATATATATATATATATATATATATATATATATATATATATATATATACATATATATATATATATATATATATATGTATATATATATATATATATATATATATATATATATATATATATATATATATATATATATATACATATATATATATATATATATATATATATATATATATATATATATATATATATATATATATATATATATATATATATATATATATATATATATATATATATATATATATATATATATACAGTTTAATCAATTAAAATCTCAGTATGTTGAAAGACTTGTGGTTTTTCAACATACTGAGATTTTAACTGATTAAACTGTATATATAAAAATGCTTCACGACGCCAGTTGACTAAGTCAACTATGTCAAAAGTTGACGGTTGACATAGTTGACTTGGTCAACTG